ATATCTCTTAACTTTTAAAATTTTTCCTCTAGGTCCTGTGAAGTTTGTTAGGGTAACTTTTGTCAATATCAACAGCTGTAAATTAGGTATTTTTACACTGTATTTTTAAAAATATATATTTTATTGATTTTTTACAGAGAGGAAGGGAGAGGGATAGAGAGTTAGAAACAATGATGAGAGAGAAACATCAATCAGCTTCTTCCTGCACACCTCCTACTGGAGATGTGCCTGCAACCAAGGTATATGCCTTTGACCGGAATCGAGCCCGGGACCCTTCAGTCCGCAGGCCGACACTCTATCCACTGAACCAAACCGGTCAGAGCTGCACTGTATTTTTAACCAGACATTATAGCTATAGTAATTAAATTTTGTACTTTTTTGTGTGGTGCTCTTAATTCTCGTATTTAACCATTTTATTGATCCTCTTATGATTGTCTAATTAAGCGTCATGTTACCTATGACCTGTCTTCTTTCAATAGTTTTTACCCCTTAGTTTAATATTTCATTGACTTTCCTGGTTTTGATGTAACTATATCTAGGTAAGAGGTAACTATTGGGAGAACTTTCCTATACACTTTTTTTTACAACTATTAATCTACAATTATTTTCTTTATTTATTTTAACTGACTTTAGAGAGAGGAAGGGAGAGGGAGAGAAATAGATTTGTGGTTTCACTTACTTCTGCATTAACTGGTTAATTCTTGTATGTGCCCTGACTGGGGATCAAACCCGCAACTTTGTTGTATTGGGACGATACTCTAACCAACTGAGCTACCCGGCCAGGGCAATCTACAATTACTTTAAATTTTAAAAATTTCATTGACTAAATAATACAGCAGTCAAGGTCGATACCCTTTGCCTCTGATTTTAACAAGGGTACTTCCAGTTTCTCATGAGCTACAAGTTAGAGAGATCTACATTACTAGTTCTATTTAATTTAAGTTTTTTGTTTGTATTTTTAAATCAGAATGAATACTATTCTATTAAATACTGACTTACTGTTTTAATGACTAACCTACTTATACAATTAAATTATTCTCTTAATTAACTTTACTAGTATTTCCCAATAACTAACTCTCCTTGAGTTCCTAGAATAAATCTTACCTGGTTGTGGAAGGTAATTTGCTTGACATGCTATTAAATTCAGTTTGACTAACATTCTCCTTCATATACATATTTTTTTATATAGATTCATAAGTAAGACTGGTTTATAGCTTCTTTGTATGTGTGCTGTCAGGTTTAAGTGATTAGAAATACGCTGAGGTTCATAAAATGAACCAGGAAACTTTCTTTTTCCTATGTTCTGACACAGATGACAAAGCAAGAACATTATTTTTTTTTGAAAGCTTAAAAATTTTAACTAAAACAGATAACATGAATGGAAAATTACAATCTCAGGGACAGTGCTATTAGGACTCCTCTCATCTCCCTTCAGTCCACAGGATGTAACCATTTTCTCCTAGTATATTTTTATTATTGCTTTGACTCTGTTCAGTTTTCTTCATTAGGAATACCACTAATTATTTGTAGGATGTATCTTTGTTCCTTGCCTTCCATATTTGCCATTGTATTTTTCATTATTTCCTGCCACTGTGTTTCTCATTATTTCCTCTCTTCTCCTTTCTTCTGCATTTTAAAAGTTTTTATGTTCATACTCGCCATCACCAATTCACTTTTCTACAACAATAAAACATTTTCCAGCTACATGCTGAAATCCAAAATCAGACACAAAGTTCCCCCTGCTTTCCTAAAAACGTTTAATGGCCTTTAACCAAGTAGTTGCTAGGGAGTAAGGGAAAGGGACAAGTTGTGCAATAAGCAACTTCTTGCTTGACCACATTCAGTTGTGCTTTTCAAAACAAAGTGGTCTTGGTACAGCAAACCCCAAATCCTCCACAGGCAGGCGGATTTCACATTTTAAAAATATTCTGTTTCCACATCTGTAAAATAGGACAGCATCACTTCCCTTGTAAAATTGTCTTAAGGGTACTAGAATTAAGAATGGCAATATTTACCTTACAGGCTGACTTACATTATGCAAAGTAGTTACTACATGAAGCATCTTAACATGACCATAGTGAGATGGATACTTTTGTTTACCCCCATTTTGTAAAAGAGGAGCTAAGACTCAGAGAAGTCAGGCAATTTGCCCAAGACCACATAGTTAGCAAGTAGTGCTGCCAGGACACAAACCTACACAGTCTGATCTTAGAAAATGCACATAAGCAGTCCTTGGCTCACAAATATTTGTTCCTTTTTAAAAGTACAGCACCAACTGCAGCCCACCCTTTGTAATAAAAA